CCCCCCCCCCCCCCCCCCCCGCCTACCTCTTGAAGTGGCTGAGCAGCGTGCCCACCAGCTCCCCGATGCGGCTCTCGCTGGGGGGGGCCATGCCCTGGAGGCACACCACCAGGTCCCGGCTGTCCTTGGTGTGGAACACCACCAGCTGGTCCCTCCCCGGGGACACGCTCAGCCCCGTTACCTGGGCAACAGCAACATTAAACACAGGTAAACACGAGCACAGAGCAGGAATATCTCACCCCCCCCCCCCACACCCAGGCAGGATGAGGTTTTCAGCCCACTAAGCTGCTCTGATGGGGGAGAGTTCCCACAGACATCACACCCTCCTCACCTCCTGTTTAAATGTTTAAAAGGGAATTTATGTGGAGAAAGAAGCGTCAAAAAAGAAAGTTTAAAGGGTGTCCGTCAAAGGGAGGAAGAAAGAAAACCACTCTGAGGGAAGGGAAACGGGGGGGGGGAAAGGCTGAGCTCTAACAGAGGAAACAGAAATGGGACATTTCTGACCTAAACTGCCTAAAAAAGGCTTATTTCTGTGCTGGATGAAGTCAGGATTAAGAATATAGCGCTCTAAAGCTTCTATGAGAAGGGCTAATATTTAAATAACAAGATACATTTAAAAAAGCACTGCTTTACTTTTTTATCTTGAACATTATAATGAATCTTTGCATCAAAATAATTCAATTCTGTTCAGTTAAAAACAAATATAGAAATGTTGATTTTTCTTTAATGATTCAACACATTTAAATCCCTGCTAAATTCTCCTGAAAAGCTTGAAAAAAAACACAATCTGAATCAGAATCTGAGTCAAAAGCCCCATCCTTATGGCTCTTCAGCCCCTTGTTTTTACACCGATCTCTGAGTAAAGGAGCGTGTTTAAATATCGCTAATTGTCATTCAAACGAGTAAAAAGAGCATGGATGTGTTTCAATCGGCCCCCCAAAAAAGCCAAATATTCCTTCTAGAGTGTCTTTCGATGCACAAGAATGCTTCAATTACAGAAAAACTCTGCACTCGGAGCAGAGATTTATTGATCCTGGTCCCTCAGGACGGATGCGATTACTCTAATTAGAGCCCCATAACTACAACAGGAGCCGGGATAAAAGAGGAAATCGCTCTTTGTTGTTCTGTGGAGCAGTGCAAACCAACATCAGAACGGGGGGGGGGACTTCTGAGGAGGGAGGGGAAGCAGCTCGAGGTTTGGGTTTGAACAGGAATCAACACGGTGCCTGTCCACAAACAAACAAACACTTGATGGGTTTGTCAGCCTGAACAGTCAATTACAGGCACACAATCACATTTACATTTTTATTAACGGCTTAATTGATTGGAACGGCAGTCAGTCGTCCTAATGAGTTGAGTAATATCAACATCCCGTCTCATTTCCTCTTCTCATTCTTTCTTTTTTTTGGTTGTGAATGTGTGTGTGTGTGTGTTTCAATTCGCCCAAATCGGTCTCCCCGTAATTATGAAATGGCTCCGAGCCGTTTATCTGCTCGGCCATCTGTCACAGATCCCAGTCGGCCATGAATAAAACCGTCCACTCTCTGATCCCAAATCGGCTCTGGTTACCGGCCGGGAAACCGCTCCAAATCCCAGGAATTAGACACGTCCCGCGCCCAACAAACCAAATGTGTTAGGCACCAACGCCTGGAGCTGCATTTCCTCTGTCAAGTGTTGAGACTGAGAGGAGTTTCTGCTGTTTTTTCTTTTGCGTTACGAAACAGAGGGGGGGGGGGGCCGCTGGGGGGGGGGGGGGGGGGGTGAGAAGACCCCAGTACGGAGCCAGGACTAGATGGAGGGATTACATGTCCCATCTGGCCTGGACAGGCCTCGGGATCTCCCAGGAGCAGCCGGGGGGGGATTTAATGGGGGGGGGGGGGGGGGCGTCTGGTTAGGCCTCCTGAACCTGTTGCCTCTGAAACTTGACCCCAGATAACCCCCGAAATGGACGGAAAACAGAAAACAGAAAACAGCAAGCTCTGCTTTAGACGACTGAGTTTTTAAACGTCTTGACTACTCAAAACTCCACATGGGAATGGAGATGTAGAAAGATTAACTCATTGACTGCCAAAGACGTCTATAGACGTCTTTTATGTTTTTCAACGAGAGTG